ATATAATTTACTTTGTTTTATCAATTTGCTCTTGCTATAAAATGTAAGTTAAAATGTCATTGAGGAGAAGTACATGTGAAAGTTGCCAATAGTGTCTATCATTAACAAAGGTCCACTAGACTAGGACTCTTGGAACCCTGGGTAAATTAGACCAGACTGTGTCTTTCTACTTATTTATGAGAAAGCAAAATAGACCCTGGCATCTCAGACCTCTCCTGGTTCTAATAGCTAGGCCTTGGTGTCCACCTGTTGAACATAAATGTGCTCTGGATCATCGGTGTCATATCGGTCCACTCTGTGACCTTGGTGAATCAAGAAAAGAAAACAATATGAAGTCTTTGTAATCCTGCCTGAAAATAAACAAAATATTAATATTGTCTTACACCACAAAAATGGCCCACTATTCTATTTTAATGAATGACTCCTATATCTTTACCAATTACAGATTTAGCCTTAGTCCAGTGTTTTTTCATTCTAGATAAGGTTTATCATGATATCTAATTACAGAATTACCTTCTCCTCACTTTTTGACAGCATTCAAATCAGAGTGAAGCTCCACTTCCTTAAACTCTCTTCCAAATCACCTATTGCAAGCCCAAATATTTTAAGTTGTTTCTAATATCCTCTTTCTAAGATGTCCCTAGGTTACATGATGCACATCCTCCCTCAGCACAAGTGATAAGTTCAATTTGTTCAACTTGAGATGTGTTCTTGGTAGTCATGAGCTGGAGAATATTATTAATACTAAGTGGCTACAATGGCCACTTTATAACTGATAAAACAAATAGGGTACATTTGCCCAACAGAGTCAACGGTCATTTTTTATTGTAGTAAAGTATATATGACATGGCAATTGACCATCTTAACCAGTTTGGGTACAGTCTGGTGGCATTATAAACATTCACATTGTTGTGCAACCACCACTATCTCTAGAAACTTTTCAGGATCCTAAACTGAAACTCTGTACCCGTTAAACAAAAGGTTCCTGTTTCTTCCTGCCCCAGCCCCTGATAACTGTTATTCTACTTTCTGTCTCTATGAACTTGATTATTTTAGGTATCTCATATAAGTGAAATTATATTTGTCCTTTTGTGCCTGGCTTATTTCACATAGCATATGTCTTCAAGTTTCATCCATGTTGTGGCAGGTATGAGAATTTCATTCCTTATTAAGGCTGAATAATATTCCATTGTATGTATATACCACATTTTGTTTGTCCATTAATCTGCCAATGAAAATTTGTGTTTCCACCTTTTGGGAATTGTGAATAATGCTGCTACAAGCATTGGTGTGTGATGTTCCTAAGTTTTTAGCAGTGATGGGTGGAATAGTTCCAGGATTGTTTTTTGCTCTGCACATGAATTTAAAACAGTTTCTCTCTCCCTTCCCAGGCTACTCCCACCCCCACCAATCCCCAAGCTCTGAGAAATCAAACATTTTGTATTAATTACCCCTTGAGATCTAGAAGAGTTTATCATGTTATTTCCACATTTATTGCCTATTGTATTAGGGGAGATAGCAATAGAGATGGGAAATATTAAGGGAAACAGTATAGAGAGACAGAACAAATCTGAAGCAATTTTTCTTTTAAAATGTATTTTCAAAACTAAGGTGTCAGTCTTTGGTGCTTTTCTACTTATGGAAGTGCTAAAAATAGGCAAGCAAAATTAGGCTTGCCATTAAGATAAGAGATACAACCAAGTCATTTATTTATTGAGCCATAAAGCTATCATTTGCCACTTTCTGCCTGAAGCATCAACTAAGAGAGTTTGGGGACTTGCTGCTCTATTTTTTCTCTCTGAAACAGAGCACATAATAGACACTCAATAAATATTGATAAAATAAGTGAGTAAAATGAATTATTAGGATGAGCCCTTATTATGTCTTGGGCTCTGTGAAAGACATTAGAGAGTGTCACATGACACCATCCCTGCCTACATAATGCTTTAAGACTAGCTAGGGAATGAGAGATACAATACTGTAAACAAACCACAATGGGTGCACAGAGATTAAGAAAAATTAGTTCTACTTATGGATAGTAAGGGAAATTGCAAAGAGGAGTTGGTTAGAATGGAAAGAATTTTGATAGATGGAAGTATGAAGTACATTCATTTCATGTGCACGAGCAGAGTCACAGTGGGAGCAAGAAGCATACGTAAAAGTATGATTTTTGGTCTTCCAGTCTGTTCAATAAATTTTGCATTTCATACTTTATTAAGCTTCATAGCATCTTCCATTTCCCCACCTCCAAAAGAAAATAATCATTCTTTATACTTCAGAAAAAGGTACCAAGAAATGCACAGTAATTGACTGGGAAGACCTAGATTTGAATCACCAGATTCCATAGCTGGTGATTCCAGCCAGTAGATTACATTCAGTGATTGTAAATTACCTTGTTTTGAGCTGACATATAAAAGGGAAGGATGAGAGAAAAGGGAGGACAGGAGGGATAAGACAGAAAACTCTGCAGGGTTAAACTGGTGGAGGAAAGAGAGGGTCATCACTATTTTTTCCACTTTGAATTTAAGCACAAAAACATTTTTTGTTTTTAAAACACAGTCAAATGATTTAGGTGAACTATCTAAATAAATGATGTAGAGAATGGTAAAAAATAGATTATTAATAGTCAATTTCACAAAGGTTCTTTATTGTCCTTTTGGATGTGTTTTAAGTCTGACTCAAAGTGTATATTTTAGAATACTGTGTTTATAAAAATAATCTGGCTGAATTGTTTTAGACAATGTTCTTCTTTTAAAATATTATTCAACTAAAGTATGTTCTAAAGTTTTCTGACCTATAAGAAGCCTTGCTTTTCAGAACATAATTCAAAATCAATTCAGTTACAAAAATAAAATATATAAAATATATATCTCCAATGATTAAGAAAGATTATGAACTAATGGAAGAAAATACATAGCAAAGAGTCATGTATTTTTATGGCTGAAAGAGGATATGAAGTAAGAAAATGCTCCAGATGAGTATGCATGTTCATCAACTTTGCATGGTATGAATTTGATGGATAGCAGATCATTACACAAACAACTGTTGGTGGTAGCATGAAACCACTGCAATGAGTGATTTTCCTCTTTTCATTTATGACTAAAAGTATTTTATTTTCAGAGGTAGGCTACTATTAATGCCATAATTAAAAACCATTGGTATTTTCTCATCTGTTTTGTGGGGGGAAAACGTTGGTCCATATCTTGAGTTGTCTGCATGAATTAAAAGTTGAAAGTAAATATTACATGTCTGCTTCACTCTATATGAAATATATATATGAGAAAACTGGGGCTGGCAGAGACTAGAAGACCTGCCCAAACTACTCAGAGACAGAGCAGCTGACTGTTAGATTTTAACTTTCCTCATTACCCTGCAATTATGCCTAGAGATCACCAGCATTAGGTGGTGTTTGTAGGTTTCTTGTGAAGGGTGGTGTTTGTCGATGTCTTGACCAAGAGTCCTATAATAAGCTAAATTATCATCCTAATTAAAAGGATACATGGGTTCTATTGTACTAGCATGTATATTAAGGTTTATTTGGGGAAAAATTTTTAGTACATCTCTTCCTCATCACTATAGACAACTGTACCAGGTCCTCTTGAAGGTATGAATTTCCTTTATAAGGGGAATGGAAAATTTGATCACCAAAGTAAGGCATTATCTCTCCTCTCTCTCTCTTTCCCATAGTTCTCCCCATTTGTGGGTGAATATTCTTTGGACTTAGCATCTTCATAGAAAATGAGCCAGGCTCTAGGTTTTTTCTTCTTTTTTGTAAATGCTATTTGGGATTAAATGGATTTATTAACCTTAAATAATTATTCTCATGTTTCATGGCTCGCTCTCTCCTATGTTGATTGTCATTTCCCCACTCTAATAGCCTTTCCTATAGAAAAATAAAAATTTACACAATCCTGGCATGAAAGAACAGAGGTCTCTTTATTGCATATCCATTTCCTAGGTTGCAAAGGCCCAGCACATCTCTTATAGTTCCTACTCAGGCCACCGCTGATCTCATTATATTTGCGAAACTTCATCTCTCTCCTTTTACTCATCTGAGAGCAGGTGGACCCAGACAGTTCTTCGGAGGTGCAGTGAGTGATTTCTCTTGAGAGAGGCACATCTTTCCAGTCTGCAAAGGAATGAAAATCCAGACAGTCACATAGATCACTTTGAATGGTGCCAAATACATTCCACCAAATGCTACTGGCAATAATTAGAGTATGTCACTGGGAGATGTGGTGATTTTCTTCCAGCATAAGGCCCCAGTCTTACCCTGAGTGCCATGAAACTGACAGGTCAGAGACAGTGTTCTCCATAGAAATAACATAGACTTCTCATGATCTGAGAAAAGAAGGGGAAGTAGCATTTCTTGACTTTGAAATGTCTGGAGCAAGGTACCCAGGATTAAGTAGGAACCACCTAGAATTTACCATGCCCTTCACTGACCCACACTTATCAGCTATTGCACAAAGTAGGCAAAAGAGTAAGTAAAGATCATCATTTTTTAATAAACAGGGTTGTGGTCTCTGGCTGAGGAAAGGCATAACCTGTTGTAGATTAAGGGAAAAAAAAAAAAAGCTTTTTGATAGGGATGGAAAGCTCTGAAAGCCAGCATGAGAAGTCTGTTCCTTGGGAAGTAATAACATCCCAAAGTCTACTAGGATTTTAGGTTCGACAGCAAGACTCTTTGCACACAAACAGGACGAAAAAGTCACACCAAAGAACCGAGCAAGTCATGGGCAAAGCAGTTGGAAAAAAAATGAAAAGGAAAGAAACATAAGAAACCAGGGAAAGCTGCAGAATGGCGAGGAAAGGCGGAGAGACGCCTAGGAAGGATAAGACGGGAGGAGGGAGTTGGGGAGGGAGGGGAGAGGGGAGAGAGCTGATCACGGACGTCAGGAACAAAAGCTCCAGCGGAGCCTGGCGAAGGCACTAAGGGAGCATGGGGTGTTTTGAATAATTATTAAAATTAGCATGTGTCTGCGCCATCCTGTGGGTGTGGCGCAGAGAGGAGTGTAAACTCTAGCGGGGCTGGAGCAAACATTGGATTAGCGGCAGCAGCCTGCCAACCTGCCTGAGGAGTAAGGGGACCAGCGCGCTGCACGCCGACTAGCACGATGGCCTCGTCTCAGGGGAAAGACGAGCTGAAATTAGCCGACTGGATGGCAACTCTGCCGGAGAGCATCCACAGCATCCCCCTCACCAATTTAGCCATTCCAGGTAGGCGCGCAGGGGCTGCCGGCTAGGCGCTCGGCGCCCGCTCCACCTGCCCCGCCCTGCTTTATCTGTCACTAAGTGGTAACTTGCCACGATGCCCGCGGGAGGGAAACTCGTCTTCCAGGGTGGGTCTCAGGCCAGGCGAGCGCGTGCCTGGTAGCCTTTGGCTTCCTAGTGTTTTCCAAACCTCTAAGGACCGAGGCGCTAGAGTCAAGGTGACTGCTTTTCTCCTGGGCTCTGGAAGCAGGTTGCGTGCGGAGGACTGGGGCAGAGGAGAAGCTGGGCTCTAGGATGGTGTCTCGTGACCCGCTCCTGTGGTTTTCCCTGCAGATTTGGGAGAGTGGGAGCGATTTCTGGGTCTGTGGGGTGACCATGTGCGGTGAACGCGAGCTAGTGTCAGGGGCTCGGCTCCAGTGCACGGACCTGAGTCCCTCCCTGGCACGGAATTGAGCGGATTGATAGATTCTCAGCTAGAGTCATTAATATTCGTCCCCAATCTCCTTTAAAAAGACAAAGCGCTTCCCGAAGAGTGATGAAAGTTCAGGGACTGGAGGCGGCGTGATAGCTGCCCTTGAAAAGGAGCCCAAGGGGGCGACGGGCAGAGGGCACCGTTTCGCATCGGCGTGGCTCCGGGGGGGCTGGCCAAGTGGACCGGTCTGGTCCAAGTGCGTGTTAGCAACACACTTCGCCAGGTGAGAAAGGCAAACCCTTGCGGATCTTGCGTTTGCTGCTTGGGACAGAAGCTGGGCAGGGGACCCTGCTTGTCCTGGAGGGGAGGGGTGGGATTAATAGGCAAATAGTAGGGGAAAGGTGACTGAGAATGTGTCCAGACAGCCTAGAAGGAAGGAAGCGTGGACAAAGCGAGGAAGAGATGCGAAGATGCGAGGGATCAAGAAGCTTCAGCTTGACGTGTGCCACTTGGACCAGAGACTGGGCAGGTTTCTAGGGTGGGAGCTCCTAGCAACCCCTAGCTCAGGTATCCAGGAGGGAGGGTCGTTTCAGGACAGTTTACAACAATGACAGCTGGGGACACGGTCATACTTCATTACCAATTGGGCTATGCAGTTGGGCTGGGGGAGCACACACCTGATCTTTTCAGAGCTGGGCTGGAGGGCAAATTACTCATGAACAATTCACTTCTGGCCCTGAGCTGAGTTGGGTTATTAAATTCAACCTTCTGGTTTACCTGCTCTTGATCTGCCCCATCCAGCGCCCCCTCTCAGCTATTGGGGGAAAACATGATAAAGACCAAAACAAAACAAAAACAAAAACAAAAGAAGGGTTATTTTGAAAATCACTAGATGCTCCCACCGACAGTGCTGCCATTGATCAGTTGTCGCTCAAATGAATGGTTGTTAGTCAAGGAGATGTTTGGCAGCAATGGCAGGCACAGGCTGCACTACAAGTGCTATCCACAGAAGGGGTTGTCTCCTTTTGTCCTTCTTCAACAGATAGCTTCCTACAAGCCAGGGATCTCCAAGGAAAAGAACCAACCCCAGCTTCTCCATGCTGCACTTACTCTGCTGCTAGGTGAGCCTGGGGATTGTTCTTTTCAAGGAGACAGTAGAAAGCACAACTTGGGCATAACTCTACTCTCACTTCCACAGTCATCCCCATTCCTTTTCTTCCTTCGTTCTTATTTAGATTTTAGATAGTTGCTTTCACAGTCTCCCCTGAATGTTTTGCATGCATAGAAGGTAAGAAGGGCGATCACTGTGATGCAAACCTTCTGGCAGGTGACTCTCTAGAAATGCAGAGTTAAAAGCCTAAGTTTTCTTGTCTAGTTCTGAGAGATGTATCATACCTTTTTGAGCCTACCTTACATTTCTGCAATATTTCACTTTTCGAAGCTCTGTTACATACACAAGCTCACATAATCCTCCCCAAACCTCATGAAGCAGGCAGTGTGGGCCCTATTGCCTCCATGTCACAGATGAAAAAACTGAAGCTAAGTGAGGACTTACTATCTATCCCTATCAGTTCAGGGATCTGACCCCTTAATTGGACCTTTGGGAAGATACCCTGAAAATTTTGGAGGGAAAGGCTTTGTGATTTGCATCTGGATGATTCAGCAGCAACTATGACTAACTAGGGTTAAGAAACAAGGAACTAAGCATTCGTGGGAACAGAGTAATTTTCCTTTCCTCCCCTGGGACAAAATGAAACCTGAGGTGAGAGACTTTGGTATTTGGGCAATCTTAGAGTACAGGCATAAAGATGGTGGCATTGGGCTTCCGTGGGAATTTATATTGTTTTCCCAACTCCTTTTGGTATTATACTAAAATGGATCCCCTGAAAAGCTTCCCCTTCTAATTCCAGTACTTGGGAGAAAAAATAGACACAACATATTTCATCAACTGTATACTCCTGAATGCCCCCATGTCTCTGTAAATTGGTTTGGAAGATCCATACATATAAAACCAGGTTTAAAAACAGGTTTGGTACCTTTTTGCATTACTCAGCACTGAGAATTTTTGGAGGAAAAGAAGATATTCAAACTTTGATAGTCAGAGAAGACTAATTGGAGACTATTAAACACTAATGGAATAATTGCCTTAAAATCATGCTAATAGCTTTCTGGCTGCTACATGTTTACTTGGCCAGTTGCTACAGCTCAAATTAAGTAATTATCTCCACCATTTAAAACCACTCCTGGTGCACCACACAAGTGTTTCTGTTGAGGGGAACTGCTGCTCAGTCATCCTCAAAGCTTCAGGTTTTCTTAGGTAAAGTGGCTGGAGAATGAAGAGCTGCCTAATTATAAGGCTACGTACTTAGGGCAGCTGACCCAGATTACCCAGATTACCCAGAGTTACAGGAAAAAACAATCTGCAGGTGTGTGAATTTTCCACCAGAGCGTAGTTCTGGTGGTCTTTAAATATTTCTCAAATATCTACATTTTGAATGCTTTCAGAGTAATCTCTCAATAGTTGTTTTGCATTTAAATGACTTCATGACATGATATTGACTGGGCTGAGGAATTGTTAGTAATTGGTATTAGTATTTCACTTTCAATTTATTTTTTAAAGAAATGGCAAAGCCAGAACACATTGACAGTTACATTTCAGCCTTGTCATTTATTTCTCTCTCTCTCTCTCTGATGGCGCTAAACTAAGTTTTCATTCATGCATATTTGTTTAATAATGGCATTTTGGATTGTGAATGATACTGCCTTTCACTATAAGCAGGTGAGAGAGGATAAACAGAGATGGAAGTAGGAAGACAAAGTATAAAATTTAGGTACAAGTGAGACTGATGAAAATTCAGTTTCTCTGAAGCAGAGTTCTAATTCTGTAATCATGGTGGCTCCAGAACTGTTGTAAAGAGATTCATCATGGGAACAAGTAAGGTGTTGGTAATCTGCATCTGTGACAGAGAGTCATCCTGTCCAAAATCTGAAATCTTGGGAATGGTTTAGCCCATGGGAGGGGACTGCTTTGCATTCTCTAATATGTGATAAAAATATTTTTCATATAGTGCAGCAAACTGACTATGTAATAATAACATATTGGCCAAAATGTTGTAGGACTGGAAACTCAGAAAGTGTCTATGTTTTCTCCAACAGGGAATTGTTGATTGTACTTTAGATAAGGAACACAGAAATGATGATTATGCCTGTGAATTTTGTTTATTTCTTTTAGAAAATGCAAATACCAATTGAAAACAACAGGTTCACTAAGGGAAGCTAAGTGTTTAAACAGCTCTGAGTTTAAACAGCTCCAAGTCTCTGTTCTTGTGTCTGATGTTACTAGCTTTTAATTTCTTCCTCCAGCAGTGATCTCTTTTTGTTGCTGCCTGTGTTCCTGGAGTCAACCATATTCCTCTTCTTTGTAATTTGCTATTTCTATTTTACTTGGATTAAGTCAATCTCTAGGATTGGACTGGGTCTAATTGTAATAAAAACTTCTAAAGAACAAAACCAGAGCAGTGTCCCCCTCCCCCTCCAATTTTTGGTGGATAGTGATAAGAAGTGAATCTTTCAAGGCAATAAAAAAGCAACAACATTGTTTAGGATGAATATGCCTCTTATTCTGCCTCTCTAATTACCAGGTTTTTTTAAAATTTTTCTAAAAAAGAAAAATTGAACAATATCTAAAACATAACTTGTTCTACTAGGACTTTTCCTGATGAATTGAATCCTCTACTATTGTTAATCAATGTAAAGTGTTATGTATGCTATTTGGTCATTCACAAAGCATCTTCCTATGCACACGTGCTTTTTCCACATTCTAACAATAATATTCTAAGGCCTTGTGACTCAAAGTTGGTCCAGGGACCAACAGCATCAGCATATATGTGGGTTTGGTAGAAATGCTGCATCTCAGACTCTGCACTTTATTTAATTACAATCTACATTTTAACAAAATCCCTAGATGATTTATATACATATTTAAAGTTTGAGAAACGCTGCTTTAGTGTAGCTCTAAACGGGGCTTTTATGTAAATGTCAGAGCCTAATTTAAATATACGTTTTTTACTAGGCCCTTTGTATTGGGCCATGAAATCTGTACATGCTTCCAAATGTATAATCATGCTTAAAGCCAGAACACCATATTTGACTCACAGCTAATGGCCCAAGTTAGGGACATTACTGATAACTGACATTAGAGGTCATTATGTACCTTGAGCAATAAATATGATTTAATTGCTACTTAAATGTTCAAATTTGGTCACTATGATAAATGTAAAACCTTTCCCCTCATTTCCTTAAAGTCTTGCTGCTTCTTAATCAATAGCATTTAAAATCAGTCCATTTGGTAATACTAGTGATACCTAATACCAATTTAGGAAACATCTCTCTATTGGCTCTTTGTCCATTTGGAGGAGTCATTCTTTGTTGGGCACAGGACCAGCTACTTCTGTTACAAGTTACAAGTTGATTCATTTTATCTGTAAGCTAGACCTTTGCAATATTGTTCTTGAGTAAAAGTGTCATCACAAAATAATGCAAAACATAGCATCATAAAGCTATCAAAAGCATCATCATCAAAGGCAAACTGTAA